TGGTTGGTTTGAAGATTTGCAGCTTGTCTTTCATTTTCTACAATTTTTCCACATCTTCTCCATTTTTCTTAACATATTATTCATAGTTATTCTGAAGTCGTTGTCTGCTAACTCCAATATCTGGTTTCTGAGTCTGCTTCTATTGATTCATATATTCCTGAGAGAACATCTTCCTGCTGCTTTGCATGTCTAGGACTCTTGTTTGCTGAATCTTCGAATCTTGCGAACAGTATACTTGATAAAGGCTCTCAATTATTGTCCCTTCCTCTGAATATTAGATTTTGTTATGGCAGGAAGTTATAGTATTAATGGGTGACCTTATGCCTATAAAGGCTGTTTTAGCCTCTGAAAGCATAGATCTATTTCAGTTTTGCACTGACTTCTAAGATGCAGTCCTTACTTGAAGTGCATGGTACTTAACCTCAGGGTGTGACATTTCTAGGGACATAATTGAAACCCACTGTATGTATGTATGTATGTATGTATTTTACCAAGGTCATTCCATTCCAAATGAGTCCAAAAACCAACCTGCAACTCCTGGCATGTGTGATCTCTGAAATTTCTGTATAACTTTCAGCTTTCAATAGCTACTCTCTTCAAAGCCTCCTAGTCTTCCCTTGTACATGCACAGCTTAGGTATTATTTGAGGACCTGATGGAAATTTTTAGGCAGATTTTTGGGGCCTCTTCTTTGTCAGTCTTTATTTTCCATTAGAAAAAACTCAAGATATTTCAGGATTGGGTTCTATATTCCCTATGACAGCCCCCATTTCTCCAAAGAGCCCTGGTTCTTCTTGTTCTTCCTTCTCTTCTTTTTCAAGAATAGTATTTTAGAAACCTAGATTGGGGTAGGCAATAAGTATTCTCATTCCTACTGGACTGTCATTGCTACTAGGCCTTCTGAGTGACTTACCTGACAGGCCTTGAATATATATGAATGTGTACTATCCTATGCACACGTGTATACACACACACACACACACACACACACACACACAATCTCTATCCATCCATCAAAAATCATGAACTTATACTCCTACCTCCAATTCCAATCCAATCAAACACCACAGTGTTTATTCTAGTCTTCTCTCTTTCCTTGTTTGTAACATTTCTCTTGGACAGTCAGAAGCTGGCTTTCATGATCTACAACATGTTTACTTGTTCAACCCTAATATACACATACAATAATTTCACAATCACTAATCCACAAAATTGTAAGGAACAAATTTTTGAACTAAAGTAGAGGACTTCTGGACAATTCTTTTTGTAGTCAGCCTTACATATCTGGTCAAAATACAGCTTTCCAAAGTAAATTGGGATTCCTTCCTTGTGATTATGTTATTCATTTATAATACAGTTAGGTTTGTTTTAGTTTATCCTATTTTACATTCCTTCTGCTACCTGGCATATTTTTGTTTTAACTTACAGTAATATTCACTCTTCACGGTGTATAGTTCTATAGGTTTTGGCAAGTGCATAGAGTTGTGTATCTATCAACACAGTCACAAGAGAACAATTCCATCACTCCCAAATTCCTTTGTGCTGCCCCTTTGCAGTCATTCCCTTCTCTTACTCTTTGCCCCTGAACATCATTCATTTGTTGTCCTTCCCTAGAGTTTTGTCTTTTCCCAAATGCCATACAATGGAGTCATACAATAAATGGTTTTTCATATCTGGCTGCTTTCACTTAGCAAAATAAATGAAACTGAGGTACAAGTTACATGCAATGCAATGTACATATCTTGGGTGTATAGTTTAATGCATCGTGACAAATGCATACACTTATGTAACCTATACTTCTATTGAGATACAGAACATTCTCTTCATCCCATAAAGTTCCCTCATGTCACATCTCAGTCAATCCCTGCTCCTTATCCCTTGCCCCCACAACCTGAGTTTAGATGCAACCACTATTCTGATTTTTTTCCTATCAGATTTTGTTTTGCTATTCTTAAAATTCATACAAATACATTCATATGGTATTTACTCTTTGTGTGGCTTATCTTGCTCAGTATATTCCTACGATAAATTTTAATTAATTTATAATAAAAATAAAATGTTTCCTACATACCAGAAGTCTCATAAATGCTTTACATATGTTCCTCAGTCCTTAATACAAATCTACAAAGTAGGCCTTCCATTGTTTCTATTTTACAGATGAAGAAATAAAACTTTAGGACAAAAAGTTTGTCATTTGCTTGAGGTAACCATGTCTAAAGGAGAGAACCAAGATTGGGCAGAATAAGAGACTGAACACTGGTAAGTTAAAAACAGAGGTAACAGTTAATCCCATGGGAGTTCTGGAGCTGGGGTGGCCCTTCAGGGGTGTCACAAATTGAGGCAAAGGAATTGGGCATTTGTACTCCTCATATGAACTAGTCAGTGGAATTGGGCTGCCCCTTGAAGGTGGACATTATCTTAGGTATGGCACTTTCTTTGGCCCAAGAGAATTCCTGAGAGAATGGCAAGACGAGCCATTAGAACATTTCCAGCAGCTAGGGGAATGAGTGACTTAGTCCTGAAAGAAGAATCTGAGAAATATACCACTGTCTTCATTATGGCCCAACACTTATGCCACTTGGATGCACTTGCTTCTAAAAAAGTAAATGCACACAGGATTCTGGTTAGTCATCTTGCTTGGAGAACCTTTCAAGAGGAAGATCGGTAGAACAAATTATAGACAGCTCTCAACAACAGATTTTCACTCTGTTGCAACTGATACTTTGTTTTTAAAAAGATTTTATTTGACAGAGAGAGAAAGAGGGAGAGAGAGCGAGCACAAGTCGGGGGAGATGCAGTGGGGGAAGGAGAGAGACAAGCAGACTCCATGCTGAACGCAGAGCCCGATGTGGGGCTTGATCTCACAACCCTGAGATCATGACCTGAGCTGAAATCAAGAGTTGGGCAGGCACTCAACCGACTGAGCCACCCAGGCGCCCCACAACTGATACTTAATCATCTCACTTCTACTATCCCAGCCTAGTTTCCCTTCACCCTTGACTACAACCTCTGTTGGACTAGGTGGCTTACTTGGAGGGATGATCCAGATCCTCACCCCTGAGTCTGAACACCTGGTCAACATGCCCTTCTCAGGATACAGCTGCTACATTTATTTATCAACAAAATTGGGGAGACATCCCAAAGGACCTGAGTGCCAAATGTCTTCTCTGCCCTCATGGTACAACAGAAGCCCCACATCCTCTGGCACAGGATCACCTATGCCAGAAGCCAGGGTGACTTCATTCCTCAGGTGCTGGTCTCATAGCAATCATAAAGGTCAATGGGACCCTTACTTTGCCGGCAAGTGTTCCCCCTCTGGAAACTAGAGCTTTTAGGTTATTTTGTGTGCTTTCCTCCCAAGAGCCCATGACCCATCTTACACGAACACTTATGAAGGCAACTGTTCTAGACTATAGATGGGAGCATCAGTGCTTTGACAATACCCAAGACAGCATAGTAACTGATAGAATTCAGAGTAGATTCTGAGAAGCAAAAGCAGTGAACGGTTCTGGATAGCTTCCATTTGCCCCAGCGGACCCACTTTCTCTACCTTGTTGAACCTAGTAACATTAACCAATATGAGCTACAGCAATGGGCTTCCTTGCCTTATGGCCTCTGGTTGGGTTTGGTCAGTGGGGAGCCTGGGCATGAAATCAGAAGGATGAAAGAAGATGAAGTCTAGCTCTGGCTATTTCTTGCAGAATGTGGGGCTGGATGCTACCCCTTACCTCCCAGCTCCTGGAATGCAGTTCTCTCCTGTCTCTGGATTTCAGTAATTGTTCCCTTCTCTTGCCCATTCAGGCTCAGGGATGTTAACAGAGCCCTGCCCTTACCAGCTACTAGGTACCAAACATTTCTTGTGGTTTCCCTACCTCCTGTCCCCAATGCGGTGAGTAACCCCTTTATGAAAACTCTGCTTGAATTGTCCTCGTGTCAGTTGTTTTCCGTTGGGACTCTGACTGATATGCCCACTCATTCCAAGTATAAGAAAAAGTCCTAATGTGACCCGTAAAACCCAAGATCAGGATCCACCACGTCTCTGACCACATCATCTTCTACCTTCACTATCCCCAACTTGTTCTACTCCAGTCTCACTGGCTTCTATGCTGTGGGACTTTGCATGCCAAGACTGCTCTTGCTACACAAATTCATGACTCACTGTCTCAACTCATTAAGGTCTCTGCTCCAAGTGTCCCTTAACTAAGAGGCTTTCCCTTCCTATTTCATATACAATGGCAAGATCCCAATCCCCCTCAGCTATTTTATGATGCTTTGCTTTTCTGCTCAACACTTATATTAGTGTGTTTTGATTCTTCTATAATCTGTCTTTCCCCTGTTAGAATGTAAGTGCTTCAATAGCAAAACTTGAGTTTCATTAATTGCTATAAACACCAGTGTCTTAAACAGTGCCTGGCATATAGATTATACTCAACAGATAGACTAGTGGTTAAGAGCATGGATTGTCTGGGTTCAAATCTGGGCTCTACCATTTACTAGCCAGGGAGCTCAGGCAAGTTACAGGTATACCATGTTAGTTTTCTCTACTGTAAAATGGGGATAATAATAGTACATACTTCCTTAAGCTTATATTGAGTACTCAATAATATCCATAAGGCATTCAGAAGAGGGCCTCATCTATAGGAGGGGCTATGTAAATGTGTGTCATTTATTAATGTATTGAAATAATCCACTATAAAAAAATGATCCCAACATAAAAAGGAAAAATTCACAAGGAAAAAAAACCTAATCCTGAATGTACTTATACATCAAAATATATAAAGAGAAAGATGACAGAAATGACAAAAAAAGTGTGAATCCATAGCCATAGCCATAGCAGAAGACTTTAATACATATCTACCACTAAATAAACTTGAGGACAAAAATCTCAATGTACATACTATATCTGAAAACACAATTAGCTTGAGTTAATGGGCATATACTCTACATCTAAGACTTAGAGAATATACATTATTTTCAAAGAAACATGAAACACTTATAAAATGTGACCAACAAATAGGTTTGCTAGTTAGATATTGCATTCAGCTGGACATGAACAGAACACCACCTCAAAAACAAACCAAAAAAAAAAAAATGACTTTGGCTTCAACCAGTTAGAGGTTACTTCTAATCATATAGGACAAGTCTGGGAACAAGCAGTCCAGAGCTGATTCCACCAATCAGAAGTTTTGGGGGAGCCCATATCATTGTGATATTTTGCTGCACTATGGTTTCTGTCATCATGATCAAAACAGAGTGCTTCCAACTCTTGGCTTTGAGTCCACTTTCAAGAGAAAGAATGGGTAAGACAAACAGGATACAGGTGAGGCAAACAAGCCAGATGCTGTTCTTCTCCCCGGGGACTTCTACCTACTTCTCGTGGTCAGCAGAGTAAGGCAACAGCCCTCTGAGCTTCAAAGAAGGCTTGCAGATTGAGTATTTTCAATTCTACTCATTGACAACTTGAACAACAACAAAAACATTTTAAAAAAGTATATAAGTAGGGGAGAATGGACACTGGGAAAGAAGCTGACAAAATGCCATACTAGGGTAGAAAGATAAAAAAGAATCAGCATCATAAACTCCACTTACCTGACAAAGATGCCATTAAACTAGAAAAAGTATATTGTAAATAGAATCTAATTTCCACTACGATAAACAAATACACTCAGGAGATATTCAGAAATGCCTTCCTGGATATGCTACGTACTGATATTTTAAAAGAGTAAATTATAGCAAACATATTACATACGAAACTATGGGCCATAACTTAAGGTTTATTTTTGGGTACGGTTATATAGATGTGTTTATACTAAAATAAAAAGACCGAAAACTAACGAACTAGTGGCCCAATCTTAGGATGAGACATTGATAAAGGTAATCCCACACTCACTATTTATTCTTTCGGTTTCTAGTTTATTTTGTGGCCACTCAGGAAAGAGCTGAGGCATCCTCATACTGATTACTTCTCTAGGGTCTGCCTCCAATGTAAGTTCTCACAAATCAACAAAGAATCACTGCAAGATTTTTCCAAATTAATACACTGACAAGTTTTGCATCCAGAGAAAACTTCGTATTTTTCCTAATGTATGAGGTATTATCCAAGGCATTCCCCTAGTCTTTATATTCACAAGTGTCTGCAGTGAATGCTCAGTTTCCTAAGGAATGTGGAAAAATGACTTTCCAGGACCGATGACACTCAACAGGACCTTCTCTCTGGGATAAATCCTCATGCTTCTTAGAGACTGAGAGACCATTCAAGGCTTTCCCACAGTAATTGTGTTGTTCAGAATATCTCCCCATCTTTTGCTCAGTAATGCGGACACTTGTGCTGAAGGACTTTCCACCTTCTTTCTATGACTATTCCTCTGTAGGGATTTCTTACGTGTGCTCTCAGGGATGGGTGTCCCTGAAGGCTTTTGCATTCTGATGATATTCATAAGGTTTTCTCCGTAGTGTGAACCGTCATGTGACTCCCTAGAAATATCACGAAGGCTTTCCTACAGCTACTGCAATCCTCAGGTTTCTCCCCGTAAGTAATCTTTTGGGCACGTCAGGGTGAGTCTGAATTGAAAGCTTACCACAAAGACTGCACGCTTGAGGTTTCTCTCCAGAGTGAATGAACATGCGTTAGTGAAGGCTCCTTCATACAGAACCGATAGAAAGAATGAGAATGGCAAGCTTCTCAGATGGTTCCTTACCATCTGTCTCCTACTATACATACCCTGTGTAGTTTCTTTCCACATGGTGTGAGCAACACAGTCTGGAAGGAGTGATAATATGTCCTTCTGAGGCTAGGTCGAAAAAGAAAATGTGGCTTGTGCGTTAGCTCTCCCACAGATCAAATGCTTTGGGAGGAACCTGCTGCTACATCATAGAGGTACTTAGCCCTGTGGAGAGTGAGGTAACGAAGGTTCCCTGCCAACAACTGGCATTAACCTGCCAGACATGTGAGTGATCCATTTTGGAAGTAGATTCTTCAGCAGTAAAGACTCAGATGAGTGTTGCTCCAGCTGACATCTTGACCTCACTTCATGACAGATCCTGAGCCAGAACTGCACAGCTAAGCCGTTTCCAAATTCCTGACCTACAGAAACTGTGAGATAATTAATGTATGTTGTCTGAAGCCACTACGGTTTGGAGGGAAATCTGTTATGGAGCAACAGGTAACTCATACATCTAGTGAGTTACCATCAGTTGTCTGAGAATTAAGAAATCCATGACTGCTTTCCCAGTTATTGTATTCATATCCACCTATTATGTATTCTCTTGTGCACAGAAAGGTAAGAGTTAGTGGTGAAAGATTTCCCACAATGATTACATTCGTAGGGTTTTTCTCCAGTGTGAGTTCTCACGTGTTTCTTAACAGCTGAAAGATTATTAAATGCTTTCCCACAGTTACTGCATTCATAGGGTTTCTCTCCAGTATGAATTCTCTTGTGCACAGTAAGAGAAAAACTACTGCTGAAGGATTTTCCACACTGATTACACTCATAGGGTTTTTCCCCAGTATGAGTTCTCATATGCTGTGTCAGGTATGAGCTCTTCCTAAAGGCTTTCCCACAATCGTGGCACTCATAAGGTTTCTCCCCTGTATGAATACTGTTGTGCCCAGTAAGGGAGGACCTCGTGCTGAAGGCCTTGCCACACTGATTACATTCATGGTGATTCTCTCTCGTATGAATTCTCTTGTGGCTTTTGAGATTACAACTAGTGCGAAAAACATGAAAACACTGATTACATTCATAGGGTTTTTCTCCAGTGTGAATTCTCACGTGCAGTCTAAGGGATGAGGGATCGTTGAAGGCTTTCCCACAGTCATTGCATTCATAGGGTTTCTCCCCATTATGTATTCTCTTATGAATAGTAAGGTAAGATCTACTGCTAAAGGATTTGCCACACTGATTACAGTCATAGGGTTTTTCTCCAGTATGAATTCTCTTGTGCTGAGTGAGATTAGATTTTGTGCTGAAGACTTTAAAGCACTGATTACATTCGTTGAGTTTCACTCCAAGATGATTTCTTTCCTGTTGATTAAGAGATGAATGATAACTATAATTTATAGTATTTTTAATATTCAATTAATTTTATGCATAGGAACTCTTTCCCAGGAATTCTGTTACATTATTACAATTGATGTTTTGGCTATTTTCAGTGCTTGTATATGGCTTCTGCCCAGTCTGAGCTCTTAGAAGTTAAAAAAGATGGACGCTTTGCCACAAGTCCTTATCATATTCATTGAACATCTTCTGATAAACTCTGGTAAACCACTTTGTATTTCAACATTCAACATCTTAGTCACATTTAAGGAAATATTTACTTGTAGAAACTCCCAGTGAAGAAACAAGTTTGGGGCTAACTTACAGTTTTCTCCAAATTCACAACTTTTCACAGTATCTCTCCAGAGACACAATTTCGTATTGTGTAAATGACTTTCCTTTAATGACTCTGTTCACTTTGTGACTTTCCTAACTTATTCTCCTACTGTGAAAAACCAGAAATCAGCCATGTTAGTCTTACCGCTTTTATACCATTGGAATGTTCTTTTCTAAAATCATGCTTCTTAGGAGTTAACCATTTGGCTTTAAGTACAGTCTCCAAATCTGGAAAAAAAAAAAAAAGAAATTTAAGTTGATGGAGAAAAGAAATAGTAAAGTGCACACATGAGTAAACACAGACTCTGAGGGATCAGCATTTTTGAGGAGGTTTGCCATGCAAGGAATAAGAGTATGAAAACTATAGGTATTTAAAAAGTGGTTTTGAAGGATTAAGACTGATCAGAGATTTACAGAAGAAGGGATTATGAGGAATGCAAAGTAGGAAGGCACTGGACAAAATGTTCATATGAAATTTATTTAAAAAGGAAAAGGACCATTATAGCATTGCATGGTGACAGATGGTAGCTACACTTGTGGTAAGCAGAGTATAACTTATAAACTTGTCAAGTCACTACACTGTACACCTGAAACTAATGTAACGTTGTATGTAACTACACTTTAATTAAAAAAAAGAAGGAAAAGAGGTATGTCTTTTTTTTTTTTCCCCATCTGACTCCAAGGTAACGTATGAGATGTTGAACAGAAAGGTAAAAAGGAAAGAATGTACACAAGGAAGCTCATACCCAACGTTCTTGACCATCTTTGTCAGAGAAAAGTACATTGTACAAACTTCCCTGTTGGACATTTCCTAAATGTAATACTCCCATGCCCCAAATCACTGGCCAGAGCTATTCCTCATATTCACCTGTCACCTGGTGCTCACCTGGACAGGTGCCTGGAAGAATTCCTCGCTCCTCTGTCGTCACCTTGTCTTCTTGCTCCAAACGGGAGATCAGACTGGATTTATCAATATGATACCCTATGCATGGAGAAAGGACACATGATATCGGGTGACTGTACAGGTGACAAGCAACCCCATGAAACTGGAGCCAACAATTCTGAAGATGATCAAGTATGACTTTTGCAGCAGTGGAATAACTACACATAAATTGTAATGAATATAGTTAACTCCCAAGAAACCAAAATTCAAGCACACTCAATATCCAGGTGACAGGACATAAACAGTCCCAAAGTCCATATCCAAGTTTACATACATACTTCAGAAGCTCTAAAGCTTTTAACCATGGAGAATATAAAGTCAGGGTAAGGAAGAGCTATTCGGTTCATAGGGAAGGCATCAGCAGAAAGCTCCATGAGGGTGGGGACCACGTCTGTCTCATTCATCACTGTATGATGGATACACTGTATTCCTAAACCCAGCATGGACCCAGGGACTCCGAAGTGCTTCAGAAAGACTGGTGAGAAGTAACAACTGAAAACTGAGGGATACTGAACCAGAAGTCCATAACTCTACAAAAACAGTGAATAACGTGCGGAAAACCATTCGAATCAACTTTATCAGAACTTTGGAAACTTATCAAAAGTTTACAGCAACTTGGAAAATGTTTAATCAAGAACAACCAGCTGACACTTTCACTAACCCTTGTCTCATCCTCTATTCCCTGCTTTGGCTGTGACCTTGAAGATCACAGCCCACATGCCTACTACCAGAGGGAGCAGGATGGACCTTATTCTCAAAGTTCTGTGGTTGTTTGTTTTGATCTTTCTGAAGGTTTGACTCAAAGGGCTTGCCTTTATTTATCTAATCTCAAACTCTCCGAGGGCTGTGCTGGGGACTCAGGGGGCATGTGCTGAATACATTTCAAGGCAAATATATTAGCCACCACTGCCTGAGGCCTATGAAACAGTACAGGAAAGAAAAGACTAACCAAGAAGCTTGGGAGGAAAAGTGAGAAATAAAATATTTTGAGGAATTTTTAAAAGTTTCCCTCCCATTTCTTTGAATCTAAGAAGGCCAGGATTGGGCACATGCTCAGAAAAGAAAGTGATAATTATGGCAGAGTTGTAAACTGCCTGCTGATTTTGAAGGTATGTCCCTATACACACGCACGGAACACAACTGCAGAGACCACGGGTTTTTCCTTTTTGTTTGAGGCCTTCAGGAAAATCTCTGACAAACTGCTAGCTAACCATGAGGTTAACATAAGTCTTCAGGGACCACACATGACAAATACAGACATTACAAAATTAGTTCAGGAATATCATTAAACATACATAGAACAAGCAACAACAAATTTTGGTGATGGGGAAAAATCCGATTCCAGAATTGCCATATAATAACTTTCCAAATGTCCATTTTTCAACAACAAAATTTTGAGGTAGGCGAAGAAATAAAAGTGTAGCCCATTACAGAAAAACAAAATTCCTCCCTGAGGAAGCTCAACCATCAGACTTCTAGTCAAAGAATTTAAATCAACTATTTTAAAGAATATCAAAGACCAAAAGAAAACTGTATAAAGAATAAAGGGCGGGGGCAGAGCAAGATGGCAGAGGAGTAGGAGACCTGGATGTCGTCTGGTCTCAGGAATTCAGCTGAATAGGGATCAAACCATTCTGAACACCTACGAACTCAACAGGAGATCGAACAGGAGAGTAGCAACAACTCTCTGAACAGAGAAGCGACCACTTACTGGAAGGTAGGACGTGCGGAGAAGTGAATCCGAGGCGATATTCGGGAGGACAGATGGTGGGGGAGGGGGCCTCTGCCGGCCGCTTCTGGCAAGTGCTAGAGCCGCGGAGCACAAAATCGGACCTTTTAGAAGTCGGCTCGGCGGAGGGACATCGCTGCAGTGGCTAAGCGGGGGGTGGAACCCTCGCGGGACAGTGTGGTCTCAGGACCCTCGGGGTCACAGAAAGACCGGGGGTGCCTGAGTGCGCCGGAGCTCCCAGGTATCGGAGCGGGGAAGCCGGCTGCAGAGACGGAGCCGAGGCGCAGGCTCTCAGCTCGGGGTTGCCATAAACTGTGATCTGCTGCCCAGTCGGGCCACTGCTCCTCCAGCAGGGACCCAACAAGCGGCAGAGCCGGGGAGACTCCCCTTCCTTCCCGGGGAGGAGCGGCGCGGGAGCGCACCACAGGGATCTGCTGGGTTTGGAGACTCCACACGGGGTCGGGTGCCAGAGATAGAAACGCTCGGTCACAGGCCGGGTGAGCACGGAGTGCGGCCGGAGACCGGGGACAAGGGAGTGACTGCTTTTCTCTGGGGGTGCACTGAGGAGCGGGGCCCCGAGTTCTCAGCTCCTCCGGGCGGAGATTGGGAGGCCACCATTTTCACCCTGGTCCTCCAAAGCTGTATCGCGAGCTTGCAGGGGACAAAAGCTCCTGAGAGCAAACCTGAGCAGCTTGCTTAGCCTGGACTCACAAGGATGGGGCAATTCCGCCTCCGGCAAAGACATTTAGGAACCATGGCAACAGGCCCCTCCCCCAGAAGATCAGCACGAACAGCCAGCAAGCCAAGACCAAGTTTACCGATCAAGGAGAACGGGAGAACTCCAGCGCTAGGGGAATACTGCACATAGAATTCATGGCTTTTTTACCATAATTCATTAGTTTTTCAAAGTTAAATTTTTTTACCTGTTTTTTTTTTTGAATTTTCCTTTTTCCCTTTTTCAACCAACATCTTATCAATCCCTTTAAAAAAAAACACTTTTTATTTTTCATTTTTAGAGTCATATTTTTAATCCCTTCATAGTAGTTACCCTTATTTTGGGCATATATATATAAATTGTTCTCTCTTTAAAATTTTGAGATACACTTTCTTCTAACAGATCA